CACAGGGACAAGGGGTCACAACTGGAAGCTGAAGACTCAGACGAGTCACAGGGACGTTAGGAAGTATTTCTTCAGTCATAGAGTTGTCAGCAAGTGGAACAGCCTAGCAAGTGAAGTAGTGGAGGCAGGAACCATACATAGTTTTAAGAAGAGGTATGACAAAGCTCAGGAAGCAGAGAGAGAGAGGATCCAGTAGCGATCAGTGAAGAGGCGGGGCCAGGAGCTGAGTCTCGACCCCTGCAACCACAATTAGGTGAATTAGGTGAGTACACACACCCACTCGCACACAATCCCAAACACCACACACACCACACACACACACACACACACACACCACACACACACACATCCCACACACACACACACACATCCCCACACACACACACACCACACACACACACACACACACACAACACACACACATACACACCCATACATCCACACACACACACACACACACACACACACACACACAACATCCCCACACACACACACATCCCCCCCCACACACACACATACACACCCACACATCCACACACCCACATACACACACACACACAAACACACACACACACATCCCCCAAACACACACACACTCACACACATCCCCACACACACACATCCCCCACACACACACACACACACATCCCCCCCACCCCCCACACACACACACACACACACATACACATACACACATGCACACCCACACACCCACACCACACACCCACACACACACATCCACACACCCACATACACACACACACACACACACACATCCACACACCCACACACCACACACACACACACACACACACACACACACACACACACACACACACACACACACACACACACACACACACACACACACCCTTCTACAGCTACTGTGCGCCAAATGGATGTCGTCCACTTCCAGAATGGTGACATCGAGTGTCACCTTGGAAGCTCAGTTGTGTCATTTGCGTCGTCAACAGCACCTCCCTCTCCACAAGTGATTCCCCGAGCTTGCTCTCTCCGCCTTTCTCAAGTCCTGGTTTATATGACTCGGTGAGCGATTGAAGAGAAAGACTCAGTCAGGGTTCTTATGTAACAATGAAAGGAAGTCGCTCGGAAATGAGAGAGAGAGACAGACAGACAGAGACAGAGACAGATAGAGACAGAGAGACAGACAGACACACAGACACACACACACACACACACACACACACACACACACACACACACACAACACACACACACACCACACACACGCACAGGCGCGCGCGCGCACCCCCTCCCCCCCCCCCACCCACACACACACCCACACATAGAAATAGAGAGATCGCGACATAAAGAAAGGACGAGAACCAATACGGAAAAAACATTACTCTTACCTAATGTGAAGGAAGCAGTTCGGAAGGAAACAGAAAGAAATACTTAAGGAACTGTAATCTGGACTCGGCGACCAGGAAATGAGACTACAAAAGGAGCATTGGGGAAGCAGGACACGGAGCTGCAGAAAGATTCAAGACTCGGGGAACGGAAAACAGGATTCTAGAGAAAAGGATGATTCGAGAACTTAGAAACAGGAAGCAGGAATCAGGCCTCAAGATAATTATCAGACCCTGCCAAGAGGCACCAGAGACAATCACGAACAAAATGATACCTTCTGACCTCCCAGGATAGCCTTATTTTGCTCCATTTACAGATTTTATAACCTACTTAAGGCAGCCCGGGAGGATAGAGAGAGCACTTTGGTAAACTATATTAGGCCGGCTCTCAAGTGGCTGTTGGGGAGGCATCAGTGGAAGCTCACTCAGAGAGGTAGTTACCTTGAATGACCTTCCGTGTACTGTAACAAATGAGGTCAAACCCGGTGTAAATTTCACTGGCAGAGAACATGTAGCATTTCAACTCGCAATAACAATCTAAGAAAAATATTTCATATTATTGGCAAACTAAACATTAGATTAAGATTCTTGGACTCTTATAAAGTTTAAATCTAATTTTCGAAATTCGTGATGTCATAGTTATTTGCGTAATTTCCCACATTTGCGGAAGGTGGAAATTCGCTGTAAAGGATGGGACAGTAGAGTAAGATAAACAGCTTAAGGAAGAAATTCAGAGAGTAAGTAGGCCTTTTATGATAGCTTCTAGCGGTTTGATAATTATTCTAAGATAATTTCTCCTTCCTGCTTGTATCCTATTTCTTATTACACAGATCATCTCTCCTCCTGGAACCTATTTTATTTCTGGTGTGTGATCGACATGCCTGAGATTACGGGTATCTAGTGGGAAAAATATGAACAGGAGAGAATAAAGAAAGACTGTAAATAGATTTGAACAAACTACAAGATAGCGATACATAGCGATATACGAAATATTAAACAGACTTGATGGGGTGGAGAGGGAAAGTGAGTTTGAGAGGCGAGATATGGGTACACGAGGGACCTATTGAAAGTTACTCAGAAGAGTTACTGGGATGTTAGCAGGTATTTTAGTCTCTGGGTGGTCAGAAAATGGAAAGGCCTTGACGACATAGTGGAGGTAGGCTCCATACATGATTTAAAGAGGAATGACATGGACCATTAAGATAGGAGGGAGTTAATCTGGCAAGCGGAAAGTTAGAGACAAGAACAGGCGCTGAAAATTAACCTCTACATCCACACAGATTATTATAAACAGGTGAATATTCATTGACTCTCTCTCCGTTAATCACAATTTCATCAATTTCATCTCAGTTTCATATTCTTCCCTCACACTATCTTCATTCATTCGTTCACTCCTGGCTAATATAATAGAGAAATATTTTAGTAAAACTAATACAACATACATCTATTGGATATGCGTTTTATATCGACACTCAGTATTTATCTCGCCATAAATAAAAAAATAACTGCCATCAACGTTACGTTGTACTTCAGCAAATAACACAGCTGTCGTTCGTCAGACAGTAGCAGCAGAAGAATCTAATATCCTTAAGGATACAACTCCTTTTAACTCCTGACTCCAATCCTCTTCGTACTCCTACTCCATCTCTTCCATTTCTTCCACCAGGGACAAGTAACTTAATATATTACTTATCTTGTTTGCCTGCTTTTAACCTTGTTTATGTGCTTCCAGACCTTACGCTCTTGAGGGAAGCGTAAGAGTGGACGAGAACGTAATGATATTGACTATTGTATTGGCCAGCAAGAGGTGGTCGACAGAGGGGGTTGAATGGTGTGGCCGACAGAGACGGGTTGAAGGGTGTGGCCGACAGAGACGGGGTTGAAGGGTGTGGCCGACAGAGACGGGGTTGAAAGGTGTGGCCGACAGAGACGGGGTTGAAAGGTGTGGCCGATAGAGACGGGGTTGAAGGGTGTGGCCGACAGAGACAGGGTTGAAGGGTGTGGCCGACAGAGACGGGGTTGAAGGGTGTGGCCGACAGAGACAGGGTTGAAGGGTGTGGCCGACAGAGACGGGGTTGAAGGGTGTGGCCGACAGAGACGGGGTTGAAAGGTGTGGCCGACAGAGACGGGGTTGAAGGGTGTGGCCGACAGAGACGGGGTTGAAGGGTGTGGCCGACAGAGACAGGGTTGAAGGGTGTGGCCGACAGAGACGGGGTTGAAGGGTGTGGCCGACAGAGACGGGGTTGAAGGGTGTGGCCGACAGAGACAGGGTGAAGGGTGTGGCCGACAGAGGCGGGGGTGAAGGGTGTGGCCGACAGAGACGGGGGCGAAGGGCGTGGCCGACACAGACGGGGGTGAAGGGTGTGGCCGATACGAACGGGGATGAAGGGTGTGGCCGACAGAGACGGGGGCGAAGGGTGTGGCCGACAGAGACGGGGCGAAGGGTGTGGCCGACAGAGACGGGGGTGAAGGGTGTGGCCGACACAGACGGGGGTGAAGGGTGTGGCCGACACAGACGGGGGTGAAGGGTGTGGCCGACAGAGACGGGGGTGAAGGGTGTGGCCGACAGAGACGGGGGTGAAGGGTGTGGCCGACAGAGACGGGGGTGAAGGGTGTGGCCGACACAGACGGGGGTGAAGGGTGTGGCCGACACAGACGGGGGTGAAGGGTGTGGCCGACACAGACGGGGGTGAAGGGTGTGGCCGACACAGACGGGGGTGAAGGGTGTGGCCGACACAGACGGGGGTGAAGGGTGTGGCCGACACAGACGGGGGTGAAGGGTGTGGCCGACACAGACGGGGGTGAACGGTGTTACCAAATTTTAATCTCATTATCAGATAAAAAAAATAATCTGTGGCTACTCTTGTTGCATTTTTTAATCTGTCTTCATATTTTTAATTCTCTCACTTTTTTCCCTGTTTTAACAGCTGGAACATTTTCCAACTTCTTAGGGTAATATATTGATAAAAAATAGATTTTATAGAGGTGATGCTTTTGAGTGGATTTCTTTTAAAGCAAATTGTTCATTTTATGTTCTATTTTGTTTAAACAACCTCATTTACCTAAAACTCGCATCTGCAAAGCCGATTCACATAATTTTCAGACCATGCTTCGATCTTTCCTACAGCCCAATCATCATATACAGTACCGTAAGCTACATTCACCATATCCTGCCCATCATAATTGCTAACCCATTCTTAATATCCACAACCTCAAAAGAATACCCATACCAAGCCCCGCTCCCATTTCTTTCAATCCATGCCTCAAATTACTAATCGATCATCCATATTCTCCAAACAATATCTCATATTTTTCAGCCAACTCCCATAACTCTAGTAAATTCCTAGTATTCCCGAACCCACAATGCTGCGGCTGGAACTATTTAAAACCCACAAATTTTAAAAAAGACGCCATTTAATATAAAAATGTTATTTCAAACTCTAGCCTCTTAACCTCTACTACATACTCTATAACCCAACCTCACCTCGAAGTGATACCCTACAAACCATCCACATACCCTATAACCCAAGCCCACCTCGAAGCGATACCCCATAAACCATGCTCTGTAAATAAAGTCTTGTGATCAACCCATAAACAAAAGCCAAAAAATCTCCCCCCAGGAAAACTTACCCACGGTCGTCTGTGAGAGGGACAGTGTAGTTTGGTTCTCCGAAACTGAAGCAGTTCTTGACACGCATTGAGTGAGCCTCTGTGGACAGGAAGTAAGATTAGAACAGCAAGATCACAAGCTGTCTGTACGTACATTCACCTACAATTAATAAGGCTGTAAATACATTTACCCAAATCCAAGAAGGCTGTAAACAAAGTTCATGTATATCATTTTAGAAATACGCAAGTAATATTTATTGATGAATGTGATATAAAAATTCATAACTTGCGCTAGCGTATTCACTGCTGAGAATACTCTAAGCAAAACAATACCCAGGAAATACTGTAAATATCAGGCTTCTCTCCAAAGTCGAATTGTGACAAAAGTTAAAGAAAAAGCTGCACGGGAACACAGGCGGCGAGGTGGTGTGTCATTTTATTAAAATCTTAAAGGATTCTGCAACACTGGGGACGGCGAGTTCAGGTCGAGTCGCTTCTGTTTTTGTTATGAGCCTTACAGGCTCTGTCAGCCTTCACTACCTTGGACAGGCCCTGTCAGAGACTTCATCACCGTGCACAGGACTGTCACCATGAGAATGTCTCAGTCATCACTACACTTTACGCTGTATTACAGCTGTCATTGCATGGGACAGAGCCACTTTCATGTCTCTACAGTCTTTCTGAGCAAATTATTTCGAGTAAAAAGAAATAAGCATGATCTGTCTATACAGTATATCTGTTTTAAGTCTTCCAATCAAAGACAGGTTAACTAAAACGCTAAACTTTGGCTCATGCCTAAAATAATAAGTTTTGCGCTTTTATCCTCGAGATGAAGAGAGAAATTAAATATACTTGCATTTCAAGAAGGAATTCAAACCAAAAAGACATCCTAGAACTTCGACACGACACTATTAGCTAAACGGTTTCTCAAGTAGATAAAAACGACCTGTTCATATATTGTGAGCTGGGTATACCTATGATCCCTCAAAGTACATTTCCAGCTCTCCTTATCTTCAACACCATTCATTGCACTAATGAAATAAATTCTACCAAAACACTCCAGTTATTCAGTAGAAGTGTGATACTTACGTTTCACTAGTGATGCCAGTCAGTGAGCTACACTCTCAGCTCCACCATGAACAACCATTGTTCACAGAAACATCTCACACCGTCGTGGAAAAAAATTACTGCAGCTATATACAAGTATTCGAGCCCCGAAAATGGGTGCTCGCTTGTTAGCCATTCGAATCTATCACTCGAGACATTTATCTTTGAAGTCTCCATCTCTATCATAGCCGTTGTACAAGAATTGTATACAATACCAACAAGATGAAATTGAGACACATGTGCAACATCTGGGTATCTTTATTGTAGACGTTTCGCCATCCAGTGGCTTTATCAATACAAATTCCAGGACATAACTTGGAGACAGGAGAACTATGTACAGAAGATGAGGTAATCAGTCCCTCAACCTAGCAGTAGGTGCGAAGAGCACCATAGTCGTGGAGATTCTGAAGCAGAAGCAAGGCGCCTGACGCTTATATAGTAACGTCAGGTGGAAATGGGACGGGTAGCAGACGAGGGTATAGTCACTGGCAGGCGGGATTCCCCAGTGGAAGTAGGTCCTACCCAAAGAGATGGGTTAGTTGTAGTAGTAGTTGTCGTAGTCGTGAAGGTTATGTACATGTCCTCAGAATCAAGATTCCATGATGTTGCAGTGTCTGAGGACATGTACATAACCTTCACGACTACGACAACTACTGCTACAACTAACCCATCTCTTTGGGTAGGACCTACTTCCACTGGGGAATCCGCCTACCAGTGACTATGCCCTCGTCTGCTACCCGTCCCATTTCCACCTGACGTTACTATATAAGCGTCAGGCGCCTTGCTTCTGCTTCAAAATCTCCACGACTATGGTGCTCTTCGCACCTACTGCTAGGTTGAGGGACTGATTACCTCATCTTCTGTACATAATTCTCCTGTCTCCAAGTTATGTCCTAGAATTTGTATTGATAAAGCCACTGGATGGCGAAACGTCTACAATAAAGATACCCAGATGTTGCACATGTGTCTCAATTTCACCATAGCCTTTGCTGGCCAATATGATCTGCATAATAAGTAATTTTATAGTGCCAAGGAACGTACTGGAGTACATTGGCACGGTAGAATTCAATAAATTCAGCTTAGAATCTCTATCCCTTTTCCATTGGCGTGTTGCTCTAATTTATAAAATAATTTTTGTGTGTTAAATATAAGTTTTATAAGATTATGTAATTTAATTTAATCTTAAAATGTAAATCTGTATGCAAAGAGACGATCAGAAATTCACGCTCGGTAATGTCAAATAATAAAAAGTCTAAAATGAGACTGAATGGCTACACAATAATCAAGGGTCGACGTCAGGTTAGTGAAACCTGGGTTGTGGCTTCCGTAGATATTCACATAATGGCCCGTTTTCTTTAATGACCTTTATTTGGGTAAGATGACAACTGCCAAACACGAAGATAAATGGACGCGAATGCATTAACTTACGACACGTCTAATGAAAACGTTTCGATCATTTGACTTTTATGACTTCAATGAATATATTTGAAGTGATTAAGATCTTAGGACTGAAACGTCGGGAATTCATTTGTGTTTATTTCTCTCGTTATCTTGATAGTTGATGTTTATTAGTTCAGACTGTAACAACTACCTTCTTTCCTTAGTTCCCCATTAATTACCCGCCTCTTTCCTCCATCCTCCTCGCTCCCTTCCCTCCTCTCTACCATGTCCCTCTCTCTACCCTCTCCTTTCTCCAACCATTATGCAACTACTCATTCTTCGTCACTATAGAGCAAATTTACAGTATTTTTTTCATTAATTTTAAAATAAGTTGTGTGCCTTATGTGTACCCGGGGTGGAATGGTAAACCAGGAAAAAACATCAATTATAACATCAGAAGCTTCACTGAGAGGTTGTATGTTTAAATGGATCCATGTGCATACATAAATGCGTTATTATCATTAAACAGATTTTGCGTAAAAAATTGTGTATGTACGGGTGTGTATATTTACTGATGTACGCTTCTCTCTCTCTCTCTCTCCCTCCTCTTTCTCTCTCTCTCTCTCTCTTTCTCTCTCTCTCTCTCTCTTTCTCTCTCTGTAAACAAGTTCAATTTGTATATAACCAGGCAGAGGCAAACGGTACAGCTAAACATTTCCCTGAATAATCCTAGCCTGAAGTTCTTGCATAAATGCGACAAGCATTTAGGGTAATCTCCCTTCACTTATTGGGATTAAAAAAAGGAATTACTCAGGAAAGGATTAGGCAGGAATACCCGCATGGAATTAATGCTAAAATTCTGTAAATAAAAATGACGCACTGAAGCATGGAAGTTAGACTCATAAACGTAATTTAGAATTGAAGTGATTATTTAAACTGTTAAGAAGTAAAGTATTTTCCACAATTCTTGAATAACAGCTAGTTGGTATTAAGCTCATATTTAATGCTAGCTGTCGATACAGAATTAAACTGGAGAAAACAGGAGAATAAACACTGGAATTAACAGACAAATGTAGGATTTAACGTCGAATCGCATTAAGAGTTCAACTCGGACTTGAACAAATTACCAAAGAATTATAATTGAAACCGTTACAGAACTGAGAGGATAGCATATAATACTCAGTATGCATATGTTAAACTGGTAATTCTGAATTTAACAATTGGTTGTCCTAAATATTTTTCTCTTGTAAATAGTCATTTTTTTAAACCCAAAAAAAATCCTGGGTTGGGCATTTAATATTATATATATATATATATATATATATATATATATATATATATATATATATATATATATATATATATATATATATATATATATATATATATATATATTATTATTATTATTTTATTATCACACTGGCCGATTCCCACCAAGGCAGGGTGGCCCGAAAAAGAAAAGCTTTCACCATGATTCACTCCATCACTGTCTTGCCAGAAGGGTGCTTTACACTACAGTTTTTAAACTGCAACATTAACACCCCTCCTTCAGAGTGCAGGCACTGTACTTCCCATCTCCAGGACTCAAGTCCGGCCTGCCGGTTTCCCTGAATCCCTTCATAAATGTTACTTTGCTCACACTCCAACAGCACGTCAAGTATTAAAAACCATTTGTCTCCATTCACTCCTATCAAACACGCTCACGCATGCCTGCTGGAAGTCCAAGCCCCTCGCACACAAAACCTCCTTTACCCCCTCCCTCCAACCTTTCCTAGGCCGACCCCTACCCCGCCTTCCTTCCACTACAGACTGATACACTCTTGAAGTCATTCTGTTTCGCTCCATTCTCTCTACATGTCCGAACCACCTCAACAACCCTTCCTCAGCCCTGTGGACATTATATATATATATATATATATATATATATATATATTATATATATATATATATATATATATATATATATATATATATATATATATATATATACAATAAGATCACAGTAAACAGGTGATTTCAAAATATGCAAAACAACCAATCTGAAAGAATAGAGAAATTCCAAGCGCTTTCGTGACTACTTACATTATCAAGGAACTAGTTCGTTGATAATGTGAGTAGTCACGAAAGCGCTTGGAATTTCTCTATTCTTTCAGAGTGGTTGTTTTGGATATAATATATATATATATATATATATATATATATATATATATATATATATATATATATATAATATATATATATATATATAATTTTTTTTAACCCAGTTACGAAAAGTATGTAACTTTTATATCAACCCTGGTGTTAGAAAACGATGATAGAGGAAGATGATAAAATAAAGGAGACGAAAACATTAAAAGGCTTTTGACACGACGCAGCAACTTTTAACAGGCCATTGACACGAATTATTGACCTGCATTGTTATGTGCATGTTGAGCGAGAGTAGTAGGAGTTCCTTTGTTGCAGGAGGCAGGGAGAACCACCATCACCATTATATCCATCACCACCACCACCACCACAATAATCATCCCTGCTACTACCACAACCATCATCCCTACTGCCACCACCATCACTCACTGTCTGGTCTGGAGATGTCTGCTCGAAGTATATACTTCCTGTCAAAGACAGCTTCTTTGATCTTCTTCTTTGCTGGGTCGAGCAGTTGCAGGTTGACGAAACTCGACTCATTCCTGCCGATGAAAGTTAGAAAAAATAATCCCAGTAACATAGTTGAAACAATTAATACTTTGGAGAATAAACTTTAAACGACGTTTCGATCACATCTGGGCTCTTATTAAGTCACAACTTGATGGATAAAAGTCATCCAAAGTTTCCCTTCCCAAGTACGAATTATTTGTCAATTAATATAGTTAATATTTCATTCTTTTTTAACATGAAGTTATAAAAATGTATTGAAACACGTTAATATGCTTAGTTCTTGTATACTTATTCAATATTTTAGTTCATAAATCATACATAATAAGTATTACTTCAAAGAATTGATATGGGGACATTCATGCATACCTTCATCTAGGATTTTTTTTTTATTCTAGAGAGTAGTGGATTTTCATTCCCGTTGGAATATCAACCTCGGCTGGTGTGTGTGTATATTTGCTGTAAATTCCACCCTACTCTTTCCTCTCCTTTCTCCCCACTACTGTTTCCTCCTTTTCTTTTCCCCCCTTTTCCCTTCACATTGGCCATTCCTTCTCCTTGCTCAGGGCCCCCAACTACAGGCAGCCCCAAGGACCATTAGTCCCAGTGGCCTCCAGCCAAGGGCCCTATTCTAGGAAATACAACATTTTGATCTCTACATCCAAACTTTTTTGCTAAATAAATACATATTATTCTCACTAACTCTGGCGATTCCAGAGGTTAGAAACTTCTTGTGGCGAAGCATCTTTATGAGGGAGATGGAGACGGAGAATGGTAAAAAGGAAGCTTGGTGAGGAAAAGAAAAGGACAAGCAGTAGAGAACACTGCTACTGTCATCACCATTATCATTATAACCATCACTGTCATCACCATTATCATTATAACCATCACTGTCATCACCACTTCCAATTCTACTCCTCTCATTCACATAATATTTTCTCACAAGGACACGCATTCTTAAGAACTTCTCTCCCTCTACAGCCTCACCCCTCACTAGCATCTGTTGTTCCTCTCTCCCCACCTCTCTCTTTCCCCCATCTCTCCCTCTCCCCACCTCTCTCTTTTCCCCCATCTCTCCCTCTCCCCACCTCTCTCTTTTCCCCCATCTCTCCCTCTCCTCACCTCTCACTCTCACCTCGTCTAGTCTGCCTTTGTTCTCTCAGTGAAATCTTTCAGCCGATCTCTCACACTGCCTTGTTCCATTCACCGCCCTTCTCACTTCTCATTCAAGATGCAGTTTGAGGTCCTTGCGCCGTTTTCTTCGTCCGTCCTCCCTCAATTTCCAGTCCTCCCTCAGTTGCCCCTTCTTCCCTAACCTCTTCCACCCCTTCCATATAACAAAACATTTCATGTGTTATTTTGCCTGACAAATGTCTACCATTACTATTTCCAGCTGACAAAAGAAATAGATTTTAACCTCAAAAAATGTTGAGCTATAGGCTCGCGATTTAAGCATTTTTTAGTGTCAATATTAGTTAAAATCAGTATATAAATTTTAATAAACAATTGCACTGAGAGAGAATCGTACGACTGCAAGGTTTCTGGTATTAAAATTTTAAAGGCATAAAAATCTTAGTTATTTTGTTAAACAAGTTCACACAGGGAGATAGTCTTTAACATATAGATTAATGATATAGAGCCCCCACCTTTGACACAGACTCCCTCTTTGACTTTGACACAGACTCTCTCTTTGACTTTGTCAGCAACAGTTTTATTACACCAACTTTAATCATACTTCCTTTAGCACTCCTCACCTCCCTCCTAACTCTCCCTCTGTTACATTCTTCAGCCTCACTGAAGTCTGATCAGGCATATAACACATTTTAACAGATCCTACTCTGCAGCACTGTATGACCCTTATGGGTTTAGCGCTTAGTTGTGTTTATAATAATTAATATAGTGAGGGAAAAAGTAAAATGTAGATAATTCTTATATGAACTTTTTTTTATATATATCCACATTGCAGTTATGTTTTTTTTCCTAAGTTAAGCCTTAATGAAAGATTTGCTTACAATATTTTTTTCACAACCATATATAACGCTATATTACTTGAGACTTCTACATATCTCCAGTCCTGACACCACCGCCAGACTACAACACTGCTATAATTACTTAGCTATATTATTTCTGCAGGGTTAAGAATACGTGCTATCCTGATTATAATACTCATTTTTATTTTACTTGTGTTAATAAAGATTTGTTTTAGCGATGTAACTTACCATTTTGTTTACTGAGGTTATTATAATTTTCCCTTATATTAATTTTCATAATGGGGATTTTTATCAAATCTCGGACACACTCCCCCACCCTGATCTTACCTGCTGTTGAAGAATCCCTGTAAGCCACACTTGATGACATAGAACTTGTCATCGGCTAACTCAAGTGTCTCGTGGATCCTCACAGCCACAGGTACATACTTCTCCTTGCTCGTCTGTGGAACAAACACAACACAGGTAATACTTAACAAATAACAGAACGACATTATCCAACAGCAGTCTAGACGCTCCACACACCCAACACCACCACACAAGCCTCACCACTCAGGAAGGATGGGTGGAACTGGAGACTTCAAAGAGCACTGTTTAATAAAACATTCAGCTTTCTGTGGTAAAAACACAAAGTCAAAGTTCTATTTACAATAAACACCATCAATTACACATTTGTGTATTAGATGCTGTTAATGCCTCGCATCAACTTTAAGATCCCACCGGCGACACCACTGCAAAGCTCATTTCAACCTGTTTCACATTTGTTAATATATTTTCTCGGACAACAGGAAGCTTAGTCGTTCTAGCTTAACCACTTTGAAGTTTAATACAAGTTCAGTATGTGATCAGCTGGAGAGCGACAGATTCTGAAATCATAAAATATACTGTCGCTTTTGGGATGATTGTTTCTCTATTTTCCTGACTTTTCATTCACTCTTGCCTTTCCTTGCTTTCCAGACTCCGTCATCTCACCATCCTTCCCTCCCTTCCCCATCCCTTCACCAGCCAATTTATCAGCCATCAAGATAAGACCGCGCGATCTCGCAGCCAGCTCAACATTTGCTCAGTTTTATGAAGCTCATGTCTGGGGGATGGGTGGGATTTGGGATGTTGGTGAGGGAAGGCATGGCTCCCCTCCCCACCATCTACCTCCCCTGGAATGGCTCCTCACCCCACCATCTATCTCCCCCAGGACCCCTAGCCTTTGTCCTCTATTGGTCCATCCCAAGACAGCTAGACACGCCTGCGACAATTAAGAATAGTTGACGGTAGTGGCCGTGTTTTGGTAAAAGACTGGTAGATTTTTTCTGGAGGAGTGTGAAGGATGTCAAGGGTAGCAAGGGACGTCATGGATAGCAAGGGATGTAAAGAATAGCAAGGTATGTAAGGAATAGCAAGGGATGTAAGGAATAGCAAGGGATGTAAAGAATAGCAAGGGATGCCAGGTAGCAAGTAATGTCAGAGGAAGGAAAGAATATCAGAGGTAACAGGAGATGTCTGGAATATAAAGGATATGGTGTGTAATAGTAGTGTGATTAGTAAGGGGGAGTGTATGTTTACACACACACACACACACACACACACACACACACACACACACACACACACACACTTATTTCTATTCTTCTAAAGGTAGCAGTGAGTCGATATATTTCTAGCGCTTTAGTCTAAAGACCATCGTGTGTGTGAGAGGGAGTTACATATATGTAGTGGTGAGCCCAGGAGCTGTAACTAAGTCCCTGCAAACTTTCGTGGTTTCTGGATGAGGAAGGAAAGTAGCGATACTGAAAAAATGGTACAACAGGAGAAAGAGGGAGAGAATTTGAAAACCATCTTAGAGATCATCCTGACGTCTACTCAGGTCTTTTATCGGGAATGGAAAAAAGAGAACGAGGATACAAATACATTTACTTAACCTTTTTACTGTGATTCTTGTACTCCTTCTCTCTTCTCTCCCTCGTTTCCCTCTACCTTACCCCTCCTCACCTTTCTATCTTCGCACTATAAATCTCTTCTGTTGACTGCGAGAGTGATTGTCAGGTTATTTGCAAAGAAAACGATTTACTAAATTTATCAAATTGAAATCTTCACAGTCCCACAACAATGTGAACCTTTAAAAAAGGAAATCCGTCATGGCTAAAGTTTGTAGCCGATCAGAAGCAGCATTCTCCAGGTAATTCGCTAAATACATCAATTCATAGTTCATTATTTTAGCAAATTGGTAAATTTGCATCTTGCAGCCTTCACTTAGAGGATCATTCATTTCATAAGTTACATCAGTCGTTATATGATTATTCCATTCAAAATCAGGCTTCAGTAATTGACAAATTAGAAGTTACAAACTTCACTAACAATACGAATTATACTTCAGTAATAATACAAATTATACTTCAGTAACAATTATACTTCAGCAACACTATGAACCATCCTTCAGTAACAATACTATCCTTCAATAACAATATGAACCATCCTTCAGTAACAATACTATCCCTCAGTAACAATAAAGAACCACCTTCAGTAACAATACTATCCTTCAGTAACAATATGAACCACCCTTCAGTAACAATACTATCCTTCAGTAACAATATGAACCACCCTTCAGTAACACTACTATCCTTCAGTAACAATATGAACCACCCTTCAGTAACAATACTATCCTTCAGTAACAATATGAACCATCCTTCAGTAACAATACTATCCCTCAGTAACAATATGAACCATCCTTCAGTAACACTACTATCCTTCAGTAACAATATGAACCACCCTTCAGTAACAATACTATCCTTCAGTAACAATATGAACCATCCTTCAGTAACAATACTATCCTTCAGTAACAATATGAACCATCCTTCAGTAACAATACTATCCTTCAGTAACAATATGAACCATCCTTCAGTAACAATACTATCCTTCAGTAACAATATGAACCATCCTTCAGTAACAATACTATCCTTCAGTAACAATATGAACCATCCTTCAGTAACAATACTATCCTTCAGTAACAATATGAACCATCCTTCAGTAACAATACTATCCTTCAGTAACAATATGAACCATCCTTCAGTAACAATACTATCCTTCAGTAACAATATGAACCATCCTTCAGTAACAATACTATCCTTCAGTAGCAATACTATCCTTCAGTAACAATACTATCCTTCAGTAACAATACCATCCTTCAGTAACAATACTATCCTTCAGCAACAATATGAACCATCCTTCAGTAACAATACTATCCTTCAGCAACACTGTGAACCATCCTTCAATAACAATACTATCCTTCAGTAACAATACTATCCTTCAGCAACACTATGAACCATCCTTCAGTAACAATACTATCCTTCAGTAACAATACTATCCTTCAGCAACAATATGAACCATCCTTCAGTAACAATACTATCCTTCAGCAACACTATGAACCATCCTTCAGTAACAATACTATCCTTCAGCAACACTATGAACCATCCTTCAGTAACAATACTATCCTTCAGTAACAATATGAACCATCCTTCAGTAACAATACTATCCTTCAGTAACAATACTATCCTTCAATAACAATATGAACCATCCTTCAGTAACAATACTATCCTTCAGCAACAATATGAACCATCCTTCAGTAACAATACTATCCTTCAGTAACAATATGAACCATCCTTCAGTAACAATACTATCCTTCAGCAACACTATGAACCATCCTTCAGTAACAATACTATCCTTCAGTAACAATATGAATCATCCTTCAGTAACAATACTATCCTTCAGTAACAATATGAACCATCCTTCAGTAACAATATGAACCATCCTTCAGTAACAATACTATCCTTCAGTAACAATATGAACCATCCTTCAGTAACAATACTATCCTTCAGTAACAATATGAACCATCCTTCAGTAACAATACTATCCTTCAATAACAATATGAACCATCCTTCAGTAACAATAACTATCCTTCAGTAACAATATGAACCATCCTTCAGTAACAATACTATCCTTCAATAACAATATGAACCATCCTTCAGTAACAATACTATCCTTCAGTAACAATATGAACCATCCTTCAGTAACAATACTATCCTTCAGTAACAATATGAACCATCCTTCAGTAACAATACTATCCTTCAGTAACAATATGAACCATCCTTCAGTAACAATACTATCCTTCAAGAACAATATGAACCATCCTTCAGTAACAATACTATCCTTCAGTAACAATATGAACCATCCTTCAGTAACAATACTATCCTTCAGTAACAATATGAACCATCCTTCAGTAACAATACTATCCTTCAGTAACAATATGAACCATCCTTCAGTAACAATACTATCCTTCAGTAACAATACTATCCTTCAGTAACAATACTATCCTTCAATAACAATATGAACCATCCTTCAGTAACAATACTATCCTTCAGTAACAATATGAACCATCCTTCAGTAACAATACTATCCTTCAGTAACAATATGAACCATCCTTCAGTAACAATACTATCCTTCAGTAACAATATGAACCATCCTTCAGTAACAATACTATCCTTCAGTAACAATACTATCCTTCAATAACAATATGAACCATCCTTCAGTAACAATACTATCCTTCAGTAACAATATGAACCATCCTTCAGTAACAATACTATCCTTCAGTAACAATATGAACCATCCTTCAGTAACAATATTATCCTTCAGTAACAATATGAACCATCCTTCAGTAACAATACTATCCTCAAGAACAATATGAACCATCCTTCAGTAACATACTATCCTTCAGTAACAATATGAACCATCCTTCAGTAACAATACTATCCTTCAGTAACAATATGAACCATCCTTCAGTAACAATACTATCCTTCAGTAACAATATGAACCATCCTTCAGTAACAATACTATCTTCAGTAACAATACTAATCCTTCAGTAACAATACTATCCTTCAATAACAATATGAACCATCCTTCATTAACAATACTATCCTTCAGTAACAATATGAACCATCCTTCAGTAACAATACTATCCTTCAGTAACAATATGAACCATCCTTCAGTAACAATACTATCCTTCAGTAACAATATGAACCATCCTTCAGTAACAATACTATCCTTCAGTAACAATACTATCCTTCAATAACAATATGAACCATCCTTCAGTAACAATACTATCCTTCAGTAACAATATGAACCATCCTTCAGTAACAATACTATCCTTCAGTAACAATATGAACCATCCTTCAGTAACAATACTATCCTTCAGTAACAATATGAACCATCCTTCAGTAACAATACTATCCTTCAAGAACAATATGAACCATCCTTCAGTAACAATACTATCCTTCAGTAACAATATGAACCATCCTTCAGTAACAATACTATCCTTCAGTAACAATATGAACCATCCTTCAGTAACAATACTATCCTTCAGTAACAATATGAACCATCCTTCAGTAACAATACT